GAGGCACTGGCTTCAGCACCCCGAGGGGGAGCCGCCAGGGGACATCGGTTCGCGCCCAGATCGACGCCCAGATGTCTCAGGGGGTTTGCCTGTGTTTGCCCCCCCACATGTGTTCTCTTGTCGTGGTCAACTGTTCATCACGATATGGAACGCGTAACACTGGGGCACCCCGAAGGGGAACCGCCAGGGGGTATGACACTCGCCCGCTCGCGCCCACACTGCGGGGATCTTTCCCCCGGTTTGCTTGCTTCTGCCTCAAACATTGTCTTTTGTTTGGTGGTCCTCTGGTCACCGCGATATAGTATGTGCTGCAATTGAGCGCCCTGCAGGGGGAGCCGCCAGGAGTGGGGGCACCCCCCCATGCGCACCCGATCGTGGGGGTGTCCCAGGCGGTTTGACGATGCCTCCCCCCCAGACCTCTCTTTGGTCTTGTGTGCTCATCACTCACTCACTCACCCACTCACTCACTCACTCACTCATTCACTCACTCACTCACCTCCTCTTCCTTCTCCTTTTCCTCGGACCCGCTCATTCACATTTAGACTTCCAAGCACGTGTTCCTCAGGCAGACCCATTGAGCACATTCAGATTCAACGAAACTCAAGCCCACTCAGACTCAGATTCGCTCATACTTAAGAGTCAATCATATTCACATACACACGCAAACTCGGACTCACGAACACCAATACTCACTCACACTCAGACCCGGTCAGGTTCAGCTCGCCCACCCTAAGACTCGCTCAAACTCAGGCTACATCGCACTCAAGCTCGATCATATTCAGATCCGTCATCACGCTCACACTCAGACTCACTCGCACGCATGCCCACTCGCACACAGACCCACTCGCACTCAGACGCGCTCTTACCCAGACTCAATCGTAACCAGATTCGCTCGCACTCCGACTCGTTCACACTTAGATCGTTCACGCTCAGACTCGCTCGAACTGAGGCTCACGCGCAGATGGATGCCGAGACATAGCCGGCGTCGCAATTGGGGACCCCAAATGCTGGCAGGCGCCGTGAGTAACACGCCAGACAGCGGACGTAGAAACGCCATGCCCGATTGCCAGAGTTGCCGCAGTGAGAGGCAAGAGGAATTCCCCCATCGCTCTTTCATGCGTGTTTCTCTCATGTCTCCTGAAAGTCCAGAGGAGGAGGACGTCACCGAAGTCGTCGCTGTCGTCATCGTTGTCGCGCCAGTCGTCTACGCGGACTCGGCCTCACCCCCAGATACTTACCGACAGAGTTCATCAGCAAGACGTGACAAAAATTATGATATGCACAAATGGGAATTCCCGCGTCAAATAACGGAATGCAACAAGCCTCCCGAATCCGTCCTGGTAGCTGGGGTCGGCGGATCGCGCCGCATCGCCGATGCATCGCCGATGCATCGGCGACGTGGGCGATGCAGCGGCGACGTCCGCGTGGACGAAAATCGGCTACACGCCGAGCCGCATCGCCGATGCATCGGCGGTGCTGCGCGCTCTTCCGATCCCATCTACTCGGACGCCATCTGGGAGGCCTGGAGGGGAGGATCAGCGGCGAGCCTGGGGGAGAACTGAGACGAGGTGGGCCTTCTCAGAAGGCTCGGAAATCCCCCGGCCATCTGAGAAGTCTTCTACGCCCCCCCCGAAGACGCAGCAAACCTCTGAGAGAAGGCGCGAGGGCTTCTGAGAAGTCCCGCCGCCTTCTGAGGGGGCCTTCTCCTACTCACTTCCCCCCCTCGCTCGCAGCCGACACACCAGATTTCGTAATAAAGGGAGGGGGGTCTCATTTCGGGGGGGGGTCTTTTCCAAGCTGTCTTGGAGGGCCTGGGGGGGTCTGCGGACGATGTTTTGGAGGGTTCTCCCACGGGGGGGGGTCTGAAATGGCTTGCCTTGGAGGGTCCAGACCCCCTCTCTTTTGTTACGAAATCTGGAGTAAGGAGGAGGGATGATGGTTGGAGCAGAGCCCTGCGCGCCGCCGTCTGCGGCCAAGGACCAATGCGGGGGTGGATGCCCCCGGGCGGCCCTGGGTGCCCCAGGCGGGCGCGCGGCGCGGACAGGCGGGCGGGCCAGGGGGGCGCGGGGGGGGGGCAGCGACCAGCCGCGTTGGAGTTCTTCATTTACCTGCCGGAGGAGGAGGGAGGAGGAGGAGGAGGAGGAGGAGAAGGAGGAGGAGGAGGAGGGGTAGGAGGGGGAGGAGGGGTAGGAGGAGGACGAGGAGGACGAGAAGGAGGACGAGGAGGACGACGACGACGACGACGACGACGACGCTCTGGAGGTCTTCAGCCTTCGGGGGTGGCCTCTCGTCGCCACGGCGGGGCGCTGCTCGGAGGACTTCTCCCGGGGGGGGGGGAAAGCCGCGCGAGGGGTCCGGGGGCCAGCTCTGGGCGGGTGTGGCGAGGGGGGCACCGGCTGGCCGCCCCAGTCGCTCCGCGGAGGCACCCGCCATGTGAGCGCTCTCCTCTCCTCAGATCTTGGCGTTGCAACATTTTCACCACGGGCGCGTTCGCCCTGCTTCGGGCCCTGGGACTCTCACGGATCGATGCGGCTCGAAAACTGCCGCAGAACGATGGGTTCCAGGGCTCCGGTCTTGGTTTTTCACGCTGCTGCAATGTTCGCAGCATCGGATCTCAGCGTCCCTCCCCCCGCGCCGCGGCCACCTCTCCCCCCTTTTCACCCACTCCTGCTGCCGGACGGACAATGAGCACCTGCCGTCTCCCGTCCCGCCCGAGCGCGCGTACGGACTGCCTCTACCGCGCTGCAACGTAAAAAAGGCGACAAAGGACACGAACGAACAAACGAACTAGCGCCCCCGTGGACAGGCCTTCAAGGGCAAGCAGGTGGCACATGGCCCACGATTGCAATGGCGTCCGCGACACAGGACACGGGGGTCTTACGCGCGATGGCACGGCGGCTTCGCGCGGCAGCTTGCGCAGGCCGCCAGCGCGGAACACCGAGTGGAGGAGAAGGCTCTCGCGTGAGAGCATGTCGCGGGCAGATTGCGCGCGAGTGCCCGCGCACTCGACCCAGCTTTTAGCTTCGCTCAGGCGAGCTGCAGCTCTAGGTGGGCGACGGAAACAGAATCGTGAGTGGATAAGGGGGCACTGGGGATCGGCTGGTCTTCCCCCCGCCTACCGCGAGCGGGTATTGGTCACGAAAAGTGCCAGGCGGCAGGGCCAAAACCAGCTGCATGCAGCAGATGTCGTAATCCCCCTTTTCCCAAGCTGGAAGGAGGAGTAGGAGGAGGAGGAGGAGGAGGAGGAGGAGGCCAGTGGATTGTGGCGTCCCTCGCTGGTTGTGGCGTCCCTCCATCGTGATCCTCGTTTGGATTGTTATCGTTTCTCTCTCTCTCTCTCACTCGTCGCCAGCCTCTTCGCAAACAGCGCCTCCCCGAGCATGGTCCTCGAAATCTCAGCCCTGTATCAAATGGCATGGGGGTGAATGTTTGCGGACCCTCTCTGCCTCTTTCTCTCTCTCTCTCTCTCTCTCTCTCTATCTATCTATATATCTATATATCTCTCTCTATCTCTCTCTCTCTCTCTTTCTCCCACCCTCTGTCTCTCTCTCTCTCTCTCTCTCGCTGTCTCGCGCTCTCTCTCTCTCTCTCTCGCTCTCTCTCTCTCTCTCTCTCTCTCTCTCTATATATATACCGCTCTCTCTCCTTCTCTTTCCACACACACACACAGACACACACGCTCACGCACAACACCGAGAAAGAGCAGGAGGGGTGAGTCGCCGTCCTCTCTCACGCTGCACACATCGCACACGGGGACAGACACTAGGGGACGCGGTTGCCCTCTCAAAAATTCGCCGGCCCAACGGGCCAGAGGCGTGCTAAGATCTCTGGTAACTGCTAAATAATACTTCTAGTTCGCGCGCGCGGGGCGGCCCCTGGGGGTCCCCCAGCGAAAAGTACCCCGGGCGATCCCTGGCAGGGTCGGATCAGAGATGGTTTTGAGGGCCTTTTTTCGACACCCCTCACGAGGATCGTGGCCTCCGAGGGGGGTGCACTCGACTACCCCGCCCCAAGAGGCCCCCAAGAGCCACCCAAGAGGCCTAAGGGGGGCCCAAGACGCCGCCAAGGAGCCCCAAGAGACCCCCAAGAGGCCCCCAAGAGGCCCCTAGGAGGCCCCAAAGAGGCCCCCAAGAGGCTTCAAAGAGGCCCCATAGAGCGCTCGAGGGCCGGCGGAATGAGCGAAGCGATTAAATAAATACGCCATGCAATGCAGAGGGGACGGACAAGGAAAATGGTTGCTCCATCTCTCTCTCTCTCTCTCTCGCTTTGCGCACGCAGCACAAAACAGGAATGTGGAAGGTGAACTTGGCTGCTCTCCCTGACGAAACATTAAAAATCCGCCGACCCTGTCGGCGTGTGGACCCCTTGTCGGCGTGCGCTCAGTCGACGAATCCGTTGTCCTCTTTCCCTGAGTCTCCGTCGTCCCCTTTCCCTGCACCCTCCTCTTCAAGCCTGCCAGTGAGAGAACACCGTAGTAAGTCGAAGGAAGCCCCTTCCCTTTGATCCCTCCCCCGCCGAGGGGGGGGGGTCCCGGGGGGGTCCCAGGGGGTCCCGGGGAGGGGTCCCGGGGAGGTCCCAGGGGGGGGTCAGATACGCATCCGCCCCTGGGCGTCCCTGAGCCCAAAAAAAGCGCCAAGACGCGCCAAGAGGGCTCTAAGCAGACAAAAGAAGAGAACCACGAACCGACATTTCGAGCTTCTCGCCCCAAGAAGCCCCCGGAAGGCGCCAAGAGCCCCTCGAGGGGCCCGAAGAGGCCTCCAAGAGACCCCCAAGAGGCCCAACAGAGGCCCCAGCAGGCCCGAAAACATCCAAGAGGCCTTTCAACCACAACCCCAGCACGGTGGAGGGAAGGGCCGCAGGCCACAAGGCTCCCTGTCTGTCTATGCTACGACTCCCTCGGCCCACATGGGGAACATGTCCTTCGCCTTCTCCTGCTCCCTTCCACCTTAATCACCCTCCTCCACCTCCTCCTCGTATTCGTCGTCGTCGTCGTCTTCAGG